CCTTGGGCCTTACCGTACCTCACTGTACGGATACTTCCTCTAGGTCCCGGCCAGTACACTACTTATTAAGATAACCTTCACCCCCTCCTTTTTGACGCGTTTCCTACCTTACCCTCTTGCTCCACTGTACCTCATGCTTTTCAGACTGCGTCCTGTTGTTTCCATCGCCAGAAGCAGCTTTCCCCTACGACGATTCAACTCCACATCCGCAATGGCTTCCCTCGGCGTAGAGAAGAAGCACAAGGTGACCGTCGTGGGCTCCGGTAACTGGTGAGCTAGTTCCTCTCATACACCCCAATATCTCATATCGCGACCCCCATAGCTTCCTCCCCCATAGCTTCCACCGCACCGACTGGATGAACAGACACTAACATAACCCAACTCAGGGGCTCAACCATTTCCAAGATCGTCGCCGAAAACACAAAGGCCTTCCCCGACCTCTTCGAAGAAGATGTGCACATGTGGGTGTACGAGGAGGACGTCACCCTCGACTCGACATCGCCTTACTACGATGCCTCCGTAGGCGAGAAGCCCCAAAAGTTAACCACCGTCATCAACAAATACCACGAAAACACAAAATACCTGCCCGGTATCAAGCTCCCTCACAACATCATCGCGAACCCCTCCCTGCAGGACGCCGTCAAGGACTCCACCATCCTCATCTTCAACCTCCCCCACCAGTTTATCGGCAATGTCTGCAAGCAGCTCAACGGCCACATTCTGCCCTTTGCTCGTGGCATTTCCTGCATCAAGGGTGTCAACGTCTCCGACGACGGCGTCTCCCTCTTCTCCGAATGGATCGGTGACGGCCTCGGCATCTACTGCGGCGCCCTCTCCGGTGCCAACATTGCCTCCGAAATCGCCGCCGAGAAGTGGTCCGAGACCACCGTCGCCTACGACCCCCCGCCCATGGATAACTCGCGCGCCCCGACCCCGCGTGCCACCTCCCCGAACCCCAACGCCAACGGCGGCAATGGCCTTGCGCCCCTGACACCCGTCGACATGCAGCACAAGGACGCCCGCGGCCGCACCTCCAAGACGAAGCTCACCGCCGTGCCCGCCGAGTACCCGCCCCTGGACCACCAGATCTTCAAGCACCTCTTCCACCGCCCCTACTTCCACGTCCGCATGGTCTCCGATGTCGCTGGTGTCTCTCTGGGCGGCGCCCTGAAGAACATTGTCGCGCTTGCTGCCGGCTTCGTTGACGGCCGGGGCTGGGGTGACAACGCCAAGGCCGCCATCATGCGCGTGGGCCTGCTGGAGATGGTCAACTTTGGAAAGGAGTTCTTTGGCCAGACGGTGCACACGGGGACGTTTACCGAGGAGTCGGCCGGCGTGGCGGATCTGATTACCTCGTGCAGCGGTGGCAGAAACTTCAAGTGCGCCAGGATGGCCGTTGCCGAGGGCTTGAGCGTGCAGGAGATTGAAAAGCGCGAGTTGAACGGTCAGCTGCTTCAGGGTACGAGCACGGCGCAGGAGGTCAACAGCTTCTTGAAGGCGAGGGGCCAGGAGAAGCACTACCCTCTCTTCACTGCCGTGCACGGCATTCTCGAGGGACGATATAGCGTCGACGATATCCCGACCTTGGTGTCTACTTCGGAGAACTAGGGTCTACTTTGTGGGAGTTTGAATATAAAAAAGAGGCATGTGGATAATACGGAACATTATTGATCGTGACGGAAAGAGGTCCAACGGCACGCTGGTGTGTGCGAGTATGTGGTAGAGGCCCGGAGTATTGGGTTTGTTATCGGTTTTTGAAAGATGTATGTTGATATCCCTGGATCATTTACCGCAGTGGCACGGTGTGAAGGAACGGATTTAGACAGGTTAAGCAATGACACACATTGTTCTGGTCGATCTTGTGGTTGGTGATATATCCTACGCGCTACCAAGTGAATCATCCGTCCTTCATCCTTGATATACCCCTCCAATTTCATTCCCGTCACCAGCCAGCAGGCGCCCGTCTGGGTCGACGGGTCAGGTCAAACTGTCTGGGTGGTGGAGTGTTTCATGGTCGACAATTACATTTCCTACGCCAACCAGCCTACTCGACGACAGGCTTAGCCAGTACCCGAGTTCGAATCCCAGTATGAGCACCTTATTACCGACAAGAGATGTAGCCACACCGATGGTGAACTCTTTTTGCTTTTCCAATCTAGTTACATTATCGTATAACGTCCCCGTTGTCTGATGGAACGGTACAAGCAAGCTAAGCCTAGATCCTTCAAGACGTAATTCTCTGTATATGTATCCCTTACATATATGTACATCTCCATACCCTTCAGTAATATCCCCAGACGATATTCTCAGTCCATATTCTCGAGCAATCCCATCTTCTCCTCATCACCACACCCAACACGTCCACTCCATGACCTGCCCCTCACCCACCCCTTCTTCTCGTCACCCTCCTCCTCCTCCTGCGTCCTCTCCCCATCCCCAAAAACAGGCCTCAACACGGCATCATACGCCATCCAAAGCAAATTAAACACAACCCCCAACGTGACCCCCAACCAAACGGGCACTTTCCCTTCCTTGTTGGCCACCTTTTTGTTCAGCGCGAAGAAGACCAGCAACACGGGGAGGAAGAGCGCCTTTAACAGCCACTGCGCCAGCTTCTGTCGTGGCGAGGTCGGGGTGTACGGCACGAGGGAGTTGAGCCAGCGCTGGTAGTCGTCCGGGAGCTCGTGCTCTGCCGCGCCGGAGGTGATGAGGTTCAGGTACCGGGGCGAGGGTTGCGCGTAGGCGGGGTCGGGGCGGCGGGTCGGGCGGAGGAAGCGGTAGTACCATTTTTTGCGGGGGTCTGTTGGGGTTTTGTCGTCGTCGCCGCCGTCCTTGGCGTTACTGTAGTTGTAGGAGGAGGAGGAGGAGGTGGTGGTGTCAGGCTCATCGGGCTCGGCGTCCGGGATGGACGGGGAAAAGAGCGTGTGCGCGAGGAACGGGCGGGGGATGTCGATGGGCGGCTTCTCGGGGACGGAGACGCGGGGCGGGAGCGGGATGCAAGGGGTCAGGATGTCCTTGTAGGAGGAGCCGCCTCCCTCTGTTGCTACGATTGTGGCGTAGTCTCGGGGCGTGACTTCGTAGACTACGCCGATGAGGCCCTTGTCCCAGCCCAGGTCTGGTGTCGTCGGTACGGTGTTGTTCTTCTCCCTCTTCGTCTGGTTCGACGCGGCGGACGGAGGCGGTAGCGGCGGCACGGGCGGGAATTTGGGAGGGTCGCTCGGGTCCGGGAGGTTGGGGATCTTCCGGGGCGCCGAGTTGGCGAAGCATGGTTCCGTGTAGGGGAGGCCGGGGAGGTCGAAGACGAGGGAGAGACCTGGGGCGGAGACGTTTACTTGGGAGATTGGACGGATGCCGCGGGCGCCTAGGAAGGTTTCTGCGCTTAGGTTGGAGCCGTAGGCTAGGTAGAGGACTGATGTCTGTTCTGCGGCGACGGCGAGGGCGGTGGGGGTGGAAGGTGCATCGTTGCTGGAGGCGTCTGGGGAAGCTGCCGCTGCTGCTGCGAGGCGGGAGGGGGATGTGCGCGGGATGCTCTTGATGGAAGGGTAAGATTTCTCGGACGGGGCGGAGGAGGTTGAGAGGGTGGCGAGGTCTTTTAGGCGGCGGAGGAGGCAGATTGGTTCTTGGGGGAGTGAGGTTGTCATTGTCCCCCGTGCTTTAACGTCGAATTGCGACGGACGAGGTTGAAGGTATTGTGGGAGGCGAAGCCAGGTCGGTCGGTTTTATTTTCCGTGATGAGAGGCACTGGCGTTCTTGGAGGGGAATGAGCTCGAGCTTAAGCTCGAGCTATAGATGAGAGGTAAGGTAACGAGACCGAAAAAGCTGGGATGATGCCAGAAAAGTCCAAGGAGTGATGAAGATGGGATGTTGAAGCGGGAAGGGAAATGCTGAAACTGATGAGTTGCGCCAGGGTACTAGCTGGTTGTGGGTGGGCGCGGGAGACTTTTTGTGTCGCCCCGGGTGTCTCTGACGTTCGGACTTTGGGGGTTTGGATGACGACGCTCTGAGGGAGGTTCCCGGCCTACTAATAAGTGCCTTATCTTTACGGAGTAGGTACGGATACCTTAGTGTCAAGTAGCATTCGCTGCGGGCGCGCCGGGGGAGCGGCGGACGGAGAATGCGCGCGCGTCGGAGTTGGAGGGTTGGCTTATGTAAACCCCGGGCGGTGGGATGCGGGATTGGCGGGGGTGAGCTGCGGAATCATTTTCAGACAATAACTCGCACCTGTCAACGTCGTGAGCTGATGGGATTCGAAGCTGGTCTAACACGATGGCATAGGGTATTTTGAAGATACTGTGCAAATGCTCCAATCCTCTACCTGAGATTGGAAATGCCATTGCCCTTGAGTCTACACTACTCTGCAGAGAACGGACCACAATGCCTGTGCTGCATCATCTGATCCTTTCTTCTTACTCGATAAGTCAACGAGATCCCAGAGCTCGAAGAAATAAATGTATAATTTAACTATCTGGCTATGCTCTCCGTGTATCTCATTTGGGTCGCACTAAGCACATATAACTGACCGATAGTGAGTAAGTTGCGTTCTCGCTGACTTGAGCCTCAGCAACTCTTGGAACATCATGTTCGCGAACCTCAACTGCAAAAATGAAAATCCAAGAGGCCAGGAAAACATCGCAAACCTCTAGAAAGGTATCATAAATGGGCTTCACCCATGTTTACATATTGTCTCCACGACACTGGAAGATTATCCCATACGTGATGTGGGGAGCTTGTGGGACATCTATAAACAACCAATTGAAACAAGTTGGTGACATATCTCTTGTCCTCCAGGCTTGGATACAACTCGAGGACATCACTTCCAGTGGGCGACCCACAACGTTGCCTGGAAAAACGATATCCTGGTCTTGGTATCACTGTTTGATTCTTTTTTTATTTCTTTATTGTTTGATATGTGGCTACCCGCTGGTCGCGAATCTAAACCACTGTTTTTGATCCTACTCGATGCTCACAGGGAATCGCTCTCATAACTTGGTCATTGCTATTCAGAACCTTCGCTCGGGGTCAAGAAGGTTTCGAAAGTCGGTAACGAGCATCATATCGTTGCCTTCATCATCATCGCCCTCGACTTTAATCTGATCCATAGCATTCTCATCTCCGTCCTCTGTCGCGAGTGCAGCCTTAGCCGCAGCCGGGACCCCATTACCATTGCCATTGCTGTGATCGCCATGGCCCCTGACAAGTTCGTCCTCGCCCTCAACCGCCCGCGACACGGACGAGTACTTCTTCGGCACGAGGTACTTATCCATGGCGCCAGCCTGCACGTTCCTCTTCGGCGTGGTGCCCTTTTCAAAGTAGAACCTCTGAATCACGTGCTGCGGGATGTTGGACTCTGGCTCCCAGGTCGGGTTCATGGAGGAGGGCCAGTTGCCCTTCCACCGGACCTGGAAGAAGCGGCCTAATTTCTTGCCGCTGCGGCGGGAGACGCGGTCTTCGAAGCCTTCGATGCGGAGGACTTCGTAGACTTGTTCGTCTTCGTCTTCTTCTTCGTCATCATCCTGTGTTGCTGTTGATGCTGCTGCCGTTCCGGTTTTCCGCGCGGTGTGAAGTTTGGTTGTGGTGGGTTTAGAGTTTGTGACTGCGGTTTTGCTGCCTGTTGTTGTTGTTGTTGCGGGAGGTGCTGAGGCGGTTTGTGGTAGGGCTGCTTGTTGTGGTTCTCGTAAGGTTGGTGCGATGTGTGGTTTTGGGCCCGGTATCTTGGGTAGTGGTATAGGCGTCGTAGAGATGGGTTGTTCTATTGACTGAACTGGCTGCGAGGGCGTCAGTTGGGAGTAGGAGGACGAGGACTTTGAGGCCGCGAGGGAGATCGTCCAGGGGGTCGTGTTTGATATCAAAGGCGTGGAGCCGGGCTTGGGTATTGGTGTGTGATTCCAGCCTGTATTTGTGCCTGTCCCGTTCTGTGTCGGGTTCAGCGCGGGGGGCGCCGTGGCTGGCGGGGGAAGCATACTGCTCGCTTTTGGTGTAGGTGTTTGCACCTTTGGTGAGGACGATTGTTGAGGCGTGGAAGAGGGATCTCGTATTGAGAGGAGGGACCGCTTCGGCGGTTGCTGCGTCTTTGCTACCCGCGGAGCCGTGGGCGTGGATGTGTGGTTCGCAGAGGCCGGGGGTATCGGCGGGAAGATGGGCGTCTCCCGAGGCCGGCCACTACTACCCTGGAGACCCGGCGCTGGCGGTTGTGGTAGCGGCGGCAGGGCCGGTGAGCTGGTGGCGCCTCTGGACGAGTCGAAAGGCGTGCTCCGGCTGCTGGTGTCCGTCTCGATTCCCGGCATGAACCGCGAGAAGGCCGGTCTCGGTGACCGGGTCCTCTGCTTCTTGCTCGGGGGTTCTAGGCCCGCGGGTAGACTGCTCTGTTCGCCAGAGTCGTATGAGTCCTCCGTCAGAATCAAAGGTGTTGTTGTCCCGGTCCCATTGAGCTGCCTGAAGATGGCCTCGTCGTCGGCCTCGTCATCGGCCACTTCTTCCATCTCGACGTCCGCGTCGCCTTCCGTGTCGAGCTCCCTGAAGTCGTCCACCAAGGCGCTCTTGGACGGCGTAGAAAGCGAAGGCGCATTCTTCCTCGGCCTGCCCCGTTTCTTCTTCTCTCCGTCCGCGGCCGTGGCGGGTGGTGGTGTCCTCAACTCCTCCGCCGCTACATGCTTTCTCTTCCGGCCCCTCTTCGCCCCCTTTCCACCCTTCTCGCCTAGTATCGCGACGCCCCTCTCCCTCGCTACAGCCTCCTCAACAGCGCGCACATTCTCCGCCTCCTCCAGCCGGCGCTCCTCCTCATCCCGCTCCTCAGCTCTTGCAGCGCACCACTCCTCGTATGCCATGGGCGAGACGTAGTCGCATATCTGCTCGGCATCGATCACGACCCGCGCGGCCGGTAGGTCGGTCCATCCCACCACGTACTGAAGACGCTTCTTACCGTCGTCAGAGAGCGCGGGCGGGACGAAAAACTCGTCGCGAATGTAGGCCGTCGAGTCGCGCGGCGGAGCGAGGGTTATCGGTCGCAAAGGGGGTCCGGAGCCGCGTTTATAGCGGCGGTAGGTCGGGAGGTCTTCGAGGACTACGGCGAGCCTGCGCGGCTCGGGTTCGGGGTTCCTTCGGGGCGGTTGGGGTTGCCGGGCCGGTAGTGAGGATGCGGAAGATGTGGTGGTAGTGTTGGTGGTGGCGGCGCCGTTGCTGGTGTCGGCCGGGGTGGGGGGTTGACCACCGAACCAGACGAGTTTCTTTGAAGGTCGCGACATGGTTTTCTTGCTCCTTTCGGAGAAGTCCACCATGCCACGCCTGACGCCTTTTTTGTGATTCCGTTGGACGAAACGGTGCAGCGGCAGGTCGGAGAAGGCTTCGGTAGGATCGTCCGTCGTCTAAAGCAGGTATCTGTGGTTTGGGAATCGGCGTTCGTGTTCGTCTCGTGTCGTGTCGCGGTTTCCGCCAGTAAAGACAACGCTTTTGTTCTCGACAACGCCGCTGACTAGAGGCGTCAGAAAAATACGGCAGCAATTGAAGAATTTCATTCATATCACGAAATTTCGTACCTGATTTTTGCGCGTGTTTTGCCGATACCTGCGCTGTGTTTCGTGGCAGTGACGCCGGTGGGGTGGGAGAGGTAGGAAACTTAGAAGCCTTAGTACTTTAATTAGCTTATTCTCCACCAGCATGACCACTACAAATCCCAATACTCATTAGAATTAAAATAGTTAGCATTAGTACATTAGAAGATATTTTATTTCATTACAAACTTCTTTAATCATCAAAAATCAATTATTATTTAATATTATTTTTTAGTTTATTTCTTAAAATCAAAGTATAAAGAAATAAAAAAAAACCCTGCTTCTCAAATAGCTTGCTCAATTCTGTTAAACTAATATTCATCTTTAATATAACAAATCCTACTACCTTATACAACACCTTTAGGTAGTAATTAGCTGAGCGTGATGCTGTATTACCTAAGGCACCAAGTACCCTTGGAATTCAGGATCATGCGATCCGGGGAAGCAGGTGCTGCAAAAGGGTCCGTGCAGAAGCTGCGGCTGGGCGTCTACCGGCGCGCTGTGCAGGGCGTCAAATCTTTGGTGGGCCGAGCTTGACCTCATCGCGAGGAGCACAAAGCTCCATCCACCACATCCCAGCTTCGGTTTCCATTTCTTTCTTCGCAAACCAAAGCCAAACCACCAAAAGAAAATCTCCCCTCCACCCGCGCGCACCGCAACGTCGATGCCCACGACAACCCGAACCTAATCAACACTCTTCGCCAAGGCCTCGCAAATATGCTGACGCCCACGAGCACCTTCGCCATCCGCCTCGCCGGCCAGGGCGCCGCCCGCGCATCGATTGCCTCTTCCATCGCCCGCACCACCGCATGCCCGTACTCGACCGCCTCCATGAAGCAGCACCAAGCCTCTGCCCGCCCAATTGGTCTCGCCTCGACAGCCGGCCCCATCGCCCGAACCAGCGCCGCCTTTGCCGCATCCCCCTCGTCCTCCATCGTCGCCCGCGTCGTCCGCCAACCCTGCTCCCAACGCTGCAATGCTACCGCTACCGCCTCCGCTGCGGCGCAACAAAAGTCCGCCCCTTCGCCGGGGGACAGGTTGGACTGGGAGACCTTCTTCCAGCTGCGCAAGTCCCGTAGAAGGTGGCAGCTTGGCTTCAGCGTCATTTCTGGATTGGGATCCTTTGTTGGCGGTGCTGGCATCTTGGCTACTGGCATTGCGGACCCGTTGGTGACACAGATTCCGCTGGATCCTTTCATTACGATGGGCCTTATGACGATGGGCTTCGGTGCTCTTGGATGGCTTATTGGACCTAGCGTTGGTTCTCTGGTGTTCTACACGCTGAACAAGAGGTGGAAGACTCAGATGACGGTGGTAAGTTGCCCTCTTCTACGTTCCGGAGGACAAGGACTTTTTCTAATCTGGATTACTGCCGCAGAAGGAGAAGGAATTTTTCGCCCGCATCAAGAAGAACCGTGTTGACCCCTCTGTCTCCTCTGTTGGTAACCCTGGTAAGTACACTCCCCAATCAATATGCCACGCTCTCACGTGCTGATCTCTACTAGTCCCCGATTTCTACGGCGAGAAAATCTCAAGCGTCAAGGGGTACCGTCAATGGCTCAAGGACCAGCGAGCCTTCAACAAGAAGCGTGTCAGCTTCGTGTAGAGTACCACCACAACGACCACCCACCACGGCTCTCTGCCAAGAACAGTTTCTTTAGGATTAATCAGGATCATGGCTAGCGGGCGAAGGCAGCCCTCCTCTCTTTGTAGCAATAGGGGTATCGCGTAGGAAAAGTATGTATCATGACGACCCAGCCCCCCTCGTCAGAACAAATTCAACTTTTTTATATCCAAATCTTTTCTCTCCAGTGGCCCCGTTTCGCTCCATCTCAGGTAAAAGGCAACGTGGGGTCCACGTCTCTCTTCCACGCCCGCATGCCGCCGTCAATGTCTCCAATGAATCTTTTGCCATTGTTGTCCAGCGCTAGATCTTTCAAACGCTTTGCCGCAAGCTGTGAGTCGTTGCCGACCCTGCAAACAAGGTAAATGGGCGAATCCTCTGGGAAATCCGACGGCAGCCACTCAGGTTGAGGCTGAACTCCCTCGCTGGACGGCTGCGTCTCCTTCATGAACTTTGCAATTGGTACGCTTACAGCGCCATCGATGCTACAAATGTCAAAGTTTTCGCGCTCCCGAACGTCCAGCAAAAGATGCCGGCCACCTTTCTCCTTGGACACCCGCTCGTATTCGGTCGCAGAGATACGCTCCTCGGGAGCGAGTATGCTGACCGGCGCAGTCACACCGCAAAACGACACATAGTCCAGCGATCCCGATCGCAGAGTCTCAAGAGAAAGCGTCGACGCCGCAGAGCAAGCGAAGCAGTCCTTCCTACGGCCCCGCATACGAACAGACCTAAACTGCCCCGACGTCGCCGCGCCCGAGAAGATGAGAAGCGAAGGCGCCGCCGCAGTCACGCTCTTGTCCGTCACATCGGGATCGACCGCGCCCAAGGCAACGAGCTTGATCGCCTCGAGAGCCTGCAGGACGCCCATGACGCCAACCACGGGCCCGAGGATGCCGCCTTCGCCGCAGCTGACGACGCTGTCGGGTGGCGGCGGCTTGGGGAACACGCAGCGGTAGCATGGTCCTGCGCCTTCCAGAGTCCCCTGCGGCGCGGCGGCGGAGTTGAGGATGATGAGCTGGCCGTCTGTGCGAAAGGCCGAGGCGGAGACGAGGGGTTTCTGGAGGAGGACGCAAATGTCGGAGATGAGGTAGCGGGAGGTTGGGTGGTCGGTGCAGTCGAGGACGAGGTCGTATTGGGAGACGATTTCTTCGGCGTTGGTTGGGGTTAGGTGTGTTTTGTGTGGATGGTATGTTACTAGGGGGTTGAGGCTGGGAGGGGTGGGTTAGTGTGAGCTTTCGTGGAGATGGGGTCAGAGGAAGGAGAGAGGTTTCCGTACCCCTTCAGATATGTGATTGCGCTTTCGACCTTTGAGATGCCGACCCTATCGGTCGAGTGTGCGACTTGGCGGTGGAGGTTGGAGACTTCGACGACGTCGCCGTCGACGAGGCCGATGGTGCCGGCCCCTGCTCCGGCGATGTAGGCCGCTGCGGGGCATCCCAGACCCCCGGCACCGATGATGAGGATCTTGGACTTTTTCAGTCTTATTTGTCCTAGGAGTCTCGTTTCAGTGGAGTTATTTCACAAATGATGTGCCATTAATAAAGCTCACCTTTGACACCTACTTGGGGTATGATGAGCTGTCGTCCATATCTCTCATAATCCTCGGGTTGCAGGGGCCATTTCCAGGGTTGAGATGATGATGATGCTGAAGCATCCTCCTGTGCCTCTTTCTCTGCGCTGGCCAGCTGTTCCTTGAGGTTCCTAAGGTCGAGTTCAGCCTCTGCGACTTTGCGTTGCAGCTCTTCGACTCTGCCCATAATTGCGTCGGTCTGCGCGGTCTGCGGTGTAAGTGAGAATCGATGACTCCCCAAGCGCGGAATTTGTGAGCGGCGGGGCGGACCTGTATAAAATGTCGGAGGTTCCGCCCCCGATCTCCGACCCCGCGATTCTAGAAGACCCACATCTCTATCTTTTCGGCCCCACCACGAATTTTTGAAGCTTTGGGTCAGGTCAAGTACGTCCTCAAACTTCAGTACTTTGCATCCCACTGTGACCTAGATCCGACTTTGAACTCGAGCTGTCTCAACCATACAACTCTCTAGAACCTTCAGTACACAGATCACTCAAGATGGTAATGCGATCTGATTCCTCCTCGTCGCCGCTCCCCAAACTAACGCCCCCAAGGCGCCCACAGCACCAACAAAAGCCCTCTCAGCCCGCGAAAAGCGCATGGCCCGCATCCGCGGCGACATCCACCCCCTCGCGCCGCACAAGACCCTCCGCCCCGAAGCCCAAGTCGACGACGGCTTCCTCACCAACAAAAAAGACAAGCGAACGATGAAACACAGCGCCTTCCTCAGCAAAGTCGCCAAGACGGCCCCGGGCAGCGGCAAGACCCTGAAACGCCGGAGACCGAACAAGAAGCTCGTCGCGACCATGGAGTCGCTCGCCGACGCGCTGCCGGAGCTGGAGGAGGGCGCGCAGACGCTGGATCAGCTGCGCGAGGGGAAGGTCAGGCATAAGAGTCTCAAGAGCAGGCCGGGCGCGCTGAAGAGGAAGGAGAAGGTTGTCAAGGCTGAGGTGGCGAGGTTTGGGGCTAGTATGGCAGCATTGGCTTCCGTGCCAGCTGCTGTGAATGCCAGCGGTTCTGGTGCTGGTGCTGGTGCGATGGCGGTTGAGGAGACGGGATCGCACGAGACGACGACGAGTGCGACTTCGAGCCGGTGGGCTGCGCTGCGGAAGCACATTTCGAGCACGATGGAGCAGAACCCTGCCTTCAGCACATAAGGCTCGATGGTGGTATATTTACTACTATCACCGGCAGAGAGGGATCTTTGACGGACTTGATCACGACAGCGGCTGAAAGCATGGCGCACCAGAGCATGATTTTTCCGTCTACGAAAGGGGCCTGAGACTTTCTCATGGTTCCGCAGCACACTTGGGATATATCCATGAGCAGACGGTCCATCTTTCAGAGGGTTTCTGATGCTAGAGAATCGTTGGCTCCGAGCGAGACTTGACGAGGGAAGCCTTCCTTGAGACGTAAGGGAACCCCTAGAGGGTCCCATTTATTGGACGAAAAGTCGAGTGCGGTAATCCTGAATTGGGGATACAACTGGAAGCTGGCAAACAGTCTCGATGGCGCTCACTATTTTATTGCCTGGCGACCGCGATCGTGTCTACGACGTTTATAGAGTTGCCAAGGCCGGGAAGCCTCTACAAGACGCGAACCGTGTCAAGTAAACGTTGTGGCGGAGAGCGTACACGGAACTGATGTCGTAGTTGAGCTGCGGTTGGTCCACCACTACTTTCCGATGTTCAGGCTGCAGACTGGGTATAGATTGAGAGCGTCTTGAAAGCACTGGAACGGCATCAAATAGGATGGGCAGTATGAGGAACCAAGGAGGTCCAATTAAGTAGCCAGGGAGGATAGACCCCTAATGCACTCTGTGGATGGAATTTGTGTCTATCAAACATAAATTCGACGTGCTTCTTGGGTTTGCCTGATGAATATCATGCGTTGAAGATTTCGTTTGTCACTATATGCATTGTTTACTCTGGCAGGGATATCAGCCTAGCGTTTCAAGGATAGCAAATCAGAAAATATCCCAATGACGATCTTGTGAGCCGACGTCATTTTGCCCAACGTCAAGGGTGCGAACGCGTCGCAATAAGATATTCTGTGTGGTCAAGATTAAAGAAAAGTAGACAAACAGATCGTCAGACTAAGGTGCGCAGGGTATCTCCAACGGTCTGGAGTGGTCTATAGGCGCGTTTTGTGGACTTCTTGGCAGGTTTGACGAAGGGGTGATGTCAGTTCAAGTCCAGGCATGGCGGTTCTAGACAACTTCATCGCCAATCAGTTAGTCTCTGGCGACATGGTTTGCTCAATCTGCACAAGATTCCAGCAATTTAGGTAGTGCATTTGTGAAGTTCTTCATGGTGTTAATTTGGGGTAGAGTGTGCAGGTGTGGTCTTTCCTCGTCATATTATGTGGTCGGCAACAGCGATCTACAGGAGGGGAAGGCTCGTTTGCCTAGGATGAACGTCACAAGGAAGGAACTGTGCAGCTGAGCAGGCAACAGCTGCACCTATTTCTTATTGAGCAGCTCCTTCCCTACCTTACTTAAGTACAAAGGTACTCGTCTTTTGCAGTTGATATAAAGATCCACAAAGCTCTCCTCTTAGCCTCGAATCGTCATTTCCACATCACACCCACGAACAATCACTTCCCGTCTCAAGTCGAAACCACTACCACTTACACGAATTCCATACCTCAAATCATCATCATGGCCGACACCAACCCCGGAAACTTTGCTAACCGGTATGTTTCTCAGTACCATTCCCCAGCGTCTACATATCTCTTGACTCTTGAGTGAGTGCTAACGGAATAAAGTCCCACTGAGGAGGTCCGCGAGATCGCAGCCAAAGGCGGCCATGCCAGCCACGGCGGTGGCATCCCACAGGAGGTACCCAGCGGCAACACAAACCCTGGCAACTTTGCGAACCGGTACGTTATTTCTGCCGTGAGATATGTTGTCTTTTACTATCATGTATCTGACAATCTTCAACAGCCCCACGGAGGAGGTTCGCGAGATTGCGGCCAAGGGAGGTCACGCCAGCCACGGCGGCGGAATCGAGGCCGAGACCCACTCGGCCACCGGCAACACCAACCCCGGCAACTTCGCCAACCGGTAAGCTGGCTTCGTATGATCCTCCGGCATCCGGCTCCTTCACATATCAAGCTTAACTCAACATTATGCCTCGCATATGCGCTTGTATTGTATGGAAAGATTACTAACGCGACCGCAGACCCAAGGAGGAGGTTCAAGAAATCGCGGCCAAGGGTGGGCACGCAAGCCACACGGGCGGTTTCGCCAGCATGGACGCCGACAAGCTGCGCGAGGTTGCTTCCGAGGGCGGCAAGGCGTCGTCCGGCTCGTTTGAGCCCGGCTCAGAGAGAGCGCGCGAGGCGGGACGCAAGGGGGGTCTCGCGGGTGGATCGGACTGAGATATTTGTGATCGCAAGGTAACAGCACTCAGAGCTCTATTCCCATGTTTATTTGAGCGCAACGACACAGGACAACAGGACGAAGCAACGACTGTACGATATCCGGAACACAAAGGGATGGAACATGAGACATGATTGATGGGCGAGAAAGTTAGGATTGCCTCCACAACAGGGCCTACCCTGAGGAAATACCACAATTGAGATTCCAGGATTCTATATGCCTGACCAACGACATCGCTGACTTACTATTGCATTGCCCTGTCAGGCGTTTCGTCCCACTTCCGGGCCGTGAGCGGATGGCTCCGAGGTTTTGCGTGCTTTCGGCGCCTCCCTTTCCTCTCTCACTCTCGGACCCCCACCATATCAATCCCGGACGGTCGAAGAAGGTGGCAGGGTGGTGCAAAAACGCACGATTTTCAAAGTCAATTGTTCAAGACCCCCTTCGGCATTTTCCAACCAGATTGATCCTACCTATCTTGCTCCGGGATGAGTGTGCTACGAGAGACAGTGCAGTAGCTGAAATGCATTGAATCCATGAGTCCTTCCTTTCCCAGACCGAATTGACCCTTTGGCTAGGTCATTCTCCAGCGGCACCCCCATGTCCATCCACCAGCCCTGCGGGTGGGTTGCTTAGGCTGGTTGATCAACTTGGCGCTCTGGGTCGGGGCCCTTGGGAGGAGCAAGCCACGTTCGGCAGACGCCGATGCAAGTGACGAGCGTTTTCCTTTCCTCCTCCTCCCCGCCTGCGCTTTTCCACCTCTTGATGGTTTGACGTACCCAAGTACTGCGGATTGAGGGTCCACTACACCAGTGATGGACTTGGCTTCGTCACTGAAGCCGCGAGCGTTTTCGTGCGACTCGATCTGTTGGCGGAAGTACGTTCTCTACGGTAAATATTTTGGGCTAGGCAAAAAAGTAGCGAGCGGCTTGTTCTAGTCCCAGGCGGGAATGGCTAGACCCGGCCGATGACATTGGGTGCCTTTTTTCCTTTCCGTGACTTTCGTCCCAAAAGGGTTTGCGGCGGGAAGTGCGCCAGGTGGGTGGTATCGCAGATTCAGCAGCATCATGATGCCGCAGCACGGTGACGTAGACGAGGTGAAACTTGGCTGCCCTTTTTCTTCTCCGTCGCTCACCCCCAGCGTCTTGCTTTGAATTGAGACCACGAGAAGATGGAGAGATGATCAAATTAGAGACTCAGCACCAAGCAATTATCTCACCTCCGGTTCAGTTTACCTTGTTCAATGAAGGATGCCTACTAGTGAGGAGGAGGGGGAAGGGGGAGGGTCTGTAAGTGAGACTTGACTGTGTGAGAGAGAAAAGGTTTTTCTCAGTTAGAGGCTTAGCCATGGCTCCCACCCCTTCTTCCTTCTCCAATGGTGACTCCTCCCTTGACCGTCTCAATTCATTCGTCACAAGCAGGCAGGCAGAGGGGACGTTTCTATGGTGGGAATCGAAAACAGAATCGGGATGCAGCGGCAATACGTAGAGTTTCTCCATACCTACTCCAGGTCTCGGGGCCCTTTCTTTTTTCTCCTCGCGTACCTTACCTTTACCTTGATTACCTACTGTGGCATCCTGCCCATCCCTGTCTTTTAGGTAGGTACTGAGGTAAGGTAGGGCAAGGTAGGTCTTGAAGATGATCGGCCATCGAGACTAGCACGTTTCGTTTTTTGTTCCCTTGGGACGCATGTTAAAGTCGTGTGTTTCCCCCCTCGCCCACGCAGCCCACGCAAGTGCTGTGGTCTTTTGCAGCGAACACATTTTGACTCCTTGCTGTTTCCTTCTTTCCTACTATACTTTGCAGCTCTTGCATCCTCACCAAAAACACCTTTTGCGAGGATCTCCCGATACCCCCAGTCCCTGGTACTCCCTCGGACTTGGCCGGTGCTTCACCTTTATACGATGGCCGCGGCAGTTGATGTTCAAACAGCAGCAGGTGTACCGCATACGGGTATCAGCCGGTTAAGCAATTCAAGGTACGATTAGGCCTTTCTTCCTCTCACTTCCAGTTTCTCAGTCCTATATCCTCTGCCTGCTTATTCAAACGAGAACATGGCGGGAACATCATCATCGTCATCCCTTGGGTTCTGGAGGGTGCGCCGGAGGCATCATGGGAGAGTGGAGACGCTCTTCCGAATCAGGTTAAGCCCGGAACAGTGGCCCTAGCTCCTCGGCTCCCCCACAAGTGTGGCTTGTCGGCACCTCGTCACCTCGTCACCTCGCATTTTTCGTCTCTTTTTCCTCCCATCATGGTGCTGCGCCACTCCTGGGCCACGTCTCCCCCCATCGTCACTCGTCGTTCAAGCCTCATCTCTTCCCTCTCCACCCTCTGATTCTCAGAGAGTCAGCACCTCTTCGCCTCTCTCATCCGAGCTGCACTGCACACACTGCCCGCTGCATGCACGGAACCAGCCCAACTCCAGTGCACCTAAGGTACCCAGCCAGCCCAGCCAGCCCCGTTCATCGTCTTTTCTCCCCGTTCGCTTCCCCACCGTCGTCCATAGCGAACCTGCGTTCCGCTCCGTCTGCAACCTGTGACCAGGAGGATCCTGAAGTTTCCCACCGCCCACGCAGAAACAACAGAGACCCTCGTCCCTCCCCCCCCCCCCCCCCCCCCTCCCCCCCCCCCCCCCCCCCCCCCCTGCGCCCCCCCCCCCCCTCCCCCATCGCCAAGGGGATCCCTGAATTTCCCCCCCCCCCCCCAAAAAAAAAAAAGACCCCCCCCCCCCCCCCCCCCCCCCCCGCTCATCAATCCCGAGCGAGAAAAAAAAAAGAGCGGATGCGAAAAAGGGCCCTGAATTATTTTTTGAATTTCATTTCTTAGCCTTGGCTAATTAACCCCCCCTCGTCTTCCCACTCTACTCCCGATTGATCCTATTCTCGGAATCCTTCTCTCTCCGTCCTTGTTCACAATCTTCCTTCTATCCGTACTCTGTACCGGTTCCTCGAGTTCCCTACCACACACCCGTCAACCCACGTACCTACGGAGTACTTCACCTACCTTACCCCAAAGTCTTTCCTGGAAAAGATCGTCGCTCTTCTCGAACCGAACCAAAGCATCCCCCCTCTGACGCAACTCCCCGCGAAAAACAGCCGCTTCTTACCCTTCCGCTCCTCTCGCAACCGACAACCATCGCCGCCCCGAGCGATCAACTCCTCCCGCTCCGGCTCGACATCGACGACGTCTTCGATATCCTCTACCGCATCGGCCTCAGTAGTATCACCACCAGCATCCCTCCAGCTTTCCCCCTCGACCTCCCCGACGAGCAGTACAAAGTCCGGCCACAGGTCCGAGTCGCGCCTGAGCATGCCTTTCAGGAAGATGGCCCGTCACTTTGGTGACACTGTAAGATCTTTCTTCTTGCAACCTCCTGCTCCTTCCCGTCTTTGTCCTTGGACCTGGCCAAGCTTGCTCTCACCTCGCCGTCGCCGCCGCCGCAGCAGCAGCACTGGGAAGTGCGACCTGATGAGGTCACAATCTTTCATCATCTCCTGCACTCCAGGTCGGACGACAGCCGCAGACGGGCAAGCACATGCCCATCTCGTCTCGTCGCTGCTGGTCCCAAGTGCCGTCGGTGGTGAGGCTGGCAACGGCGGGGTAGTATGAGAGGGGCGGCCGTCCTGTTTCAGCGCAAGCGCCAGTGAACTGACCCGAATCGCGTCCTAGCTCTCCCCGCAGCAACCTTACTTGTCGTGTAAGTCGCACTCCTCCTTGCTCCCAATCAAGCGCCGCACCTCCCGCGGTGTTATCCTACCATCCCGTGATGATCATGGCCCCGGCTGACAGCTTCTTTTGGACGATGCAGATCACGATATTCTCCGTATGTTAAACCCTCTGATGGATGACGAGGTGCCGGGACCCTACCGAGTCCGCAGGTTCCGACTACTTGAACCTCCGATTTAGCACACGGGAACCATTTGGGCTTACTCGTGTTGATTGCAGTCACCTACGAAGACATCAAGTCGCTCAAGAACGACTGGTTGACAGACAATGTACGGCACACCTCCTACCCTGCGCTTGCTCCTACCTGGCTAACAATTTCACAGAACATTGCTTTCTGGGAAGAGTGAGTCCCAACCACTTACAGTTTGACGATAACCACCTATTCTGAACCCTCCTAACAACTGCCAACTGCAGATGGCTGGAACGCGAAGTCCTCCCCAAGTACCCTCAAGCCCGCATCATCCTGCTTCGGCCCTCAATGACCTTCCTCCTCATGAAGGAGCCCGACATGCGCCAGATCCGCTCCGCCCTCCCCGACTTCTCCAAAGTAACACACATCTTCCTCCCCATCAATGACGCCCGCAACGTCGCCCAGGCCGAGGGCGGCTCCCACTGGTCCCTGCTGCTCGTCAGCGCCATCGACGGCGTCGCCTTCCACTACGACTCCCTCGGCGGCGCAAACTACGCAGAAGGCCGCCTCGCCACCCACAAGATGTCCGAGATCCTCGGCCGCCCACTCCGCTATCTCAACCTCGACGACTCTCCCCAGCAGGAGAACGGCAGCGACTGCGGCGTGTTTGTGTGTATCCTAATGCGCCACCTGCTCATCAAGCGCCTCCTCAGCGCCAACGCTCGCGAAAAGGTCAGCATGAGCATGGCCAATAAGCTGATTGACAGCCACGGCGGACGTAAAGAGATGCTCAAAATTATCGAGAGCTTGCGCAAGGAGGGCGAGCGGAGGAGATCGTAAGCGCTAATCCCTCAAATTATCCCCTCTACTGAATTTGGTCTTTGTTTTTTTTTGGTCTCTGCGGCATGTGGATGATGGCAGTACTATCATCCTCCTTACTGTACCTGTACTCTCCAATCTTTGAAGCGTCAAAACCGTAAACTTGTCTTGAGGGTTCCCTGACACCCCTTCTTTCAAAAAGGAGAAGCGCATCACCGTACTCGTCAAAGACGCCGCCACGGATCGAGTAGTCAACCAAAGGCAACCCTTCGTACCTTACCCCTACAAAACTCGAACGAAAGAACGACAACGAGACCGTGATTTAGCACAGTTACATCCTTGTCGACGACTTTATTTAAATGTTTCGATATACGATATCCACGAGCGCATGCACTAGTGTATTTTATTCAACCACATGAGAAAGGGGGCAGAGGAACGTAAGCATTTGGTAGTGGAAGACGGGAGTGACGAGCGGAAACCGACGCGTCCGAGAGATCCCATCGAGCCGATTCCATCCGCCGAGATACGAAACGACGATTCAGCGACGACCAGAGGTTGTGGGCAAGATGAGGCACTGTGAGATGATGGGCGTAGAAGGGCCGACGCTGCGGGCTATCCTGGCGGGGCCACGTTGGAGTAGAAAGTTCAAGACGGATGGCCGTAGTAGAGGAGCAAGAGAGGGGTCCAAATCAAGACAATGCAAAGGCGAGGCGTTTTTGGCGTCCCAAGGTCGGACGGTTAGCTAGGAGAGATACATTTGATCTTATTCCCATTCATCCTCATCCGCGGCATTCTTTGTAAGGTATGTTGGATTGCTTGCTGCATCGTGCATGCATTGCCGCGAACTCTCGACGAGCATCACCTCATCATGCCTTCATCAAAATCACGCGATTCGCTGGGGACCTGAAACTCATGTAAACGGAATTAGCTGTATCACGCTAGTTGAGAACCCTTCTCCAAACCATCTCTGAGCTGGACCATCAATCTATCGCTCTGCGCTCACCAACCAAAGCCCAATAGACCATCCACAAGATGGCAAAAAAGTCGTCATCCCGACGCGCAATCGCAAGATCCCTGGCCGCATTCTTCCCCATTCCCATCCACTCCCGTTACCAAAAGGGGCCATCATCCTTGCGAGCCTTCTTGATGCTCGCTTCGCGCTTGTCTTGCGCAACCCGGGCTGCCAGCTTGTTGAATCCTGCCTTTGTGATTCCGTGCAGGGCTACACCTCTGCTCATGACCGATGGAGCGACGGACGAAGGAGCATGGTTCATCTCCTGAAGGCGCTGACGGAATGCGAAAGCCGTAGTCCGTACATTGGTGTTCGGGATCGACGGAGCGTCTAGAAGAGACGGGACTCCCAGTCCAGTGTTACCGCCGACGCGGTCGTACTCGGTGCCGGCAATTGGCAATACGGCAGTGTCGGGAACTGATCGATCGTTGCCCCTCATACCAATGGACTCCGCGAAAAGCTTGGCCGAGAGGTTGGAGCGGCGAGCGGCCGATCCGTCATTCAGAGACTGCTCTGCGTCTCCATCAACGCCGCCGTCGTCAACGATGATTTGCTGTTGCTGTTGGCGCCTTGGTTAGCGTCATGGTCTTGCTCATGTTGCTTCTTGTTCTTGATCCGAAGATAGGCATTCACCTTTCGTTGATCAATCGCGCCATTGCTCTGGTATATCAAATCCGCAGTCTGCTGGGTATAAGGGTCAGTGCTGTCGATATTATAGTGCAGCCATTCCTTCTGCGACTGCTCTGTAGTGTAGGCCCAGCCAGCAGAATACCACATTTGAAAGGCACCTGATTTGGAATCTTTGCGGTGACGAACCTCTTTTCTCTGATCAGGATCATAAGCCATGTACTCAACGGCCTCGTCCCAGTTTGCGCCTTTCTCCCAAGTAATGGGCTTCAGTCTTTCTCGGAATGCATCGAGCTCTGCCTCTTCCTCCAGATCATTTGAGTGGGCATTCGCAAGCCATGCCTCTTGATAGCGCTGATCCTCGGCCTCAGCCTCTTCTTTGGTCTGAAAGCCGCGGGCGTTCTTTGCGGAGATGGCATCGGTATTGAATGAGCGGGATGTAGGGAGGTGTCGAATCTGGAGAAGATCATCGAGCGAGGCATCGCACGGGTCCGGGCAGAAGATGACATCGTGCCCCTCGCGTGATCCGCTGTAAAGAGGGGATCCAATGATACACTTACGAACAAGCACAGCTGACTCAATGCTGGAGAATGAGATCTGAAAGCTTTTCTCGTCGGTGTACGCAAAGTGCGTGATGACTTCAGCGAAGGTGGACGCCAGCCCAGCTCTTTTGAGAACCATGTGCAGATCCTTGACGGGGAATCCGGTGACGGTGAGGCATCGAGTATTTCCCTCGCGAATCATGGTGAGGATCGAGTCCTTGAGAGGAAATGAGTCCGTGTTGGGCATGCTGATGCGGACTTGAACTGAAGTACCATCAGCCGTGGTGAATCCGATTTCGCGACCGCGGTCCAGGCTGTATTGGAAATACGCCTTAGCATCCTCAGGAGAGGTGAACTCAATGTACGCATGGTTGAAACGATTATCACTAGTTCCCATCGGCATCGCGTGTGCCTTGAGAATTCGACCACCTCGGATGTGCTCAAGGATGCGCTGGACGTGAACCTCATCGGGAAGTCCAGTCATGATGATCGTCCTGGAAGACACATCTGATACGCCATTGTCGGCGGTTAGCTTCTGACCAGCCCCATCGCGTATATACCGAAGGCCGTATTTCAACATACCCGGCACCGCTAAAGGGTGACGACTTCCAACGGTACGCTGGTGCGTCTGCAGCGCGCGCTCCTTCTGAAATGGACTGTCCCAGATGTTATCGCTGCCCTCACTCCAGTTGAGCCCAGTCATGGTGTCGGCCGTGCTAGTTGCAGTCTCGGTGTTCTGGTTGTCAAGGTGTTCAATGACGGGAGCAGGATGCTGCTTTTCAGCCAAAGCGTCGGGCGTGACGAGGGCTTCCTTGAAGGTGGAGGGGAACTCGGGCTTCGGGAAAGTGGCCTGGTTGTCTCGATCAACGTTCTGGGGCTTGGAAGGTGTCTGGAGAGCTGGAAAATGGTCCTCAAATGATATCAAAGGCTCGTCATTGATGCCAAGAACCGTCGAGAGACCAGGCTTCGTGGTTGTGCCGTCATCAGGAGAGACTCCAATGACTGCGAAAGCTTCTGTAACCTCTGGGTGATCAGTGATAAAGGAGCGCATGAAGGCCTCGTACATTTTGGCCCGCTCAACAGCGTTGAGAAGGCAGTTCTGCATGGCCTGGAGCTGAGCAACAAGAGGTGCATTGTTTGCGACCGCTCCGGCATACTTCGCCTTGTATTCTGTGAGCTGCTCTTGACTATGGTCGAGATCGTCTTGGAGTCTGCTCAGTACTTCTTGATCCTTGCTGCTTCGCTCATTCTGTTCGACAGAGTAAGTCTGCGCTCTGCATCGGAGAAGATTGGCCTCCTTGATATCTTCCCTGAGCTTGGCGATTGTGCCCTGGTCCAAGTTCGCTTGATGCCTTAGCGATTCGTTGACGTATTCGAGGCTCTCATTTTCGCTTTTGAGGGCTTCGTGATCGGCCTCGAGCCGGCTGAGGCGAGACTTCATGGCGAAAAGGCCAACTCCCGCGTCCAAACTTTGGCGAGCATCTGAGTAGGACGAGAATGACTGCTTTGACGACAAATTGTCTCGGTTCGTGCTGCTGGGGGTAAACTCGGCTGAGGATGGGTTCAGTGGCTTGCGACCAGAAACGAATGGCTCGATCGGGGAAGGTTTGTTCTCACGAGGCGGAATCGCGGTCTCTTGGGAATCGCCCTGCTTAATGACAGCGACACTTGTAATCGTCTGGGCGTGATTGGTGTCAGAGACAATAGCTTCCAGATCCTTGGGGTCATCGAAGTCGTCGCCAAAATCAATGAGCTTCTCCGAGTTTGACTGGGAAAGGATCGGACGAGCAGGGGCGGGTGGGCTTCTGGCGTCGCTTTTGTCATCATTAAAGCCATCGTCAGTCGACGCGTAGATGCTCTCATCACTGTCATTGTTGTTCTCTTGCTTGATGACACGGCCGGGGAAACGGGGGTCGGATTTGTCAACCATTTTGGCCGCCGTCGTGTTGTGCTGCTGGTGGAAGAAGTCCAGAAGGTCTATCGAGACGTAGGAGCTTTCGGCTGATTCTGTGGGAAAACTGTGAATGAATGGTGTTAACGAATGGACCGACGATGCTTTTCTTGAAGAGAGAGAAATGCGAGATATGAATGATGAAGATGATGCGGGAGTAAAGATAGGAATCACTGGCTGAAATCGATTCTTGTAGCGATTGGATTGGAAATGACGATTGAGAGTACCGTTTACTCTGCCAACCTTTGACGGTTGGGTCCTCGAAAGTGGTGATGTAGAAGGGGAAAGACGAAGTGCGAAATCAGAATGTGAAGGGAGGAACTCTTGGAGCCCCCGTGTTTTCATTCCGGGAAAGGCAAGAGCGGCTGTTGACGCCGGCGGAAAGCGCCATTCGTAAGATGCTGTAACTAAGGCAGGTGTGCAGGAGGGTCGGGAAGTAGGGGCAGATTCTTGGGGCGGTGAGCAAGCAGTGCTGAAACGTATCATGACTTACCTAGCTGAGTCTGAAAATGCTTGAGCTATCTTGACTCAAAGAGACTAAGAGTTGCAGTAGGCCGAGATATCACCGCGAGTGGATTCTTTGCATTCAGCGTTGCTGCTACCTGTTGTTGAGGTAGACGATATTGGTGAATGATCTAAATGATCTTGTTTCGTTGTCGAGAAGTGGCTTATAGAAGGCTTGTTCTATAAGAGCCAAGGCGCGCCGATGCTGACGTCAAGAACGCCGAAAAGCAAGGCGAAATCTCCGTCTCTATGTCTATGCTGCTGTGTTGTTGTGCGGTTGCTCTATAGAATCGAGGCCAAGACTCGGAAGCAGACTTGTTCTGGAGAAGAAAAGATTGTTGCTTCAGGTAGAAGACTGTAGACGACCTGAAATATGTTAATGATGCTCAATGCTGATCTCAAAGGTGAGTGAGGCTCTTGCCTGGATGACATACCTGAGTACTCCGAAAGGGAGAGGCGAGGATATTAAGGTAAGTGAAAGTGCTGCCTCTGCGTGCTGATGTGGATGTATGAGGAAGAAGACTCTGTGAAGAGACGGGAGGGAAGTTGCTGAGGAGGAGGGAGATAGGGTGGTAAGGGAGAAGAGGTAGGTGAAGGTGAGAAGAAAAAGAAAGAGAAGAAGAGGGCTGGTGAGCTGAGAAAAGAATCTGACTTTTATAACCCTAGGGCAGCCGGAGACGGGAACTGAGGCTATGAGGGGACTGTGGTAGACGGAGGAGCTCAAAAGATCAACTTCACGGGAGACTGAAGACGGCACAAATGGACCAGAGAAGTATAAGACGAAGCAGGTCAGACGGGAACTTCACATGAGGGAAGTTAGAAAGACATTGGTCGAGACCACTGAGACTTGGTAGACACATTAGAGCAGACAGTCAGAGACTGAAAGGGGTTCTTGGGAAGGGAGGGACTGTTCTCATTATGAAGAATGATGAGTTTGAGTGCAGTCAACCCCGAAAGGGATCCCAAAGAGTTGCGAGACCACTGGGTCCTGTTATTGAAATGTCACAGATGAGCCCAGGCAGTCTAGTCTTCATGGGAAGATAAGTCACCGTGAAGACAAGTAGGATGTGAACAAGTATGAAGAGGCACAATTGCTATGAAGGGACCCTGGTCCCAATTCATTGTAGCTTCCAGTATCTTCTGAAGACGATCCAGTGAAGGAGGTTAAGTGAAGGGAATCAAGTGAAGTGGACCGAATGCGTGTAGTCTGAAATAAACTTGTTACAAAGGCCTCGAGAACTTATAACAGCATTACTAGAATTGATGAGGTATGTTAAGTTAAGGGTCACAGGAGTTGCAGTAAACAATCACCAAGACTTCAGTGGGAGACAAATATGACCACATATATCGGAAAGCATAGTCTGAAATCTGGTATCTTCAAATCTTGGAAAGGAAACTGATACTACGCAAGGAAAGGGGGTATACATGCTAGCCCAACGCCGTGCTTTGTTAACTCAATGGCCAAGGGAAACCCTTCAACCTCCCCTACTGATACTCGTTGAATACTTGTCTTATACTTCAACGACAAAATCTCGAATCATGTTGAGGAATCTCTCCCGATACTCCGTAGGGTTGGCAGTAATGCTCATGGGGCCGTGGCCGGCAAACGCGTTGTACGACTTGACGAGCCCAGTCATGGCCTTCGCGCGAAACTTGTGCTTGGCCCAGAAGAAGTCGAGAACGATCATGCGGTAGGTCCAGTTGCCGTCGGCGTCCGTCAGACCGGTGCGCCAGGGAGGTGCGTCGGAATTGATCGTGGGTACGTCGCGAGCTTCATCGAGCACATTGGGGCCGGGGAAGCGCACCATGAAGAGGGAGTAGTCGACGGCGTTGTTCTCGGCCAGGAGTTGGGTATCGGCTTCGAGAATGTCCAGCAGCTCCTTCTTCTGGGCGGGTGTGACGCGAACCTTGTCCTCGAACTCGTCAATCAAGCGTTCCTTGACGCTCTGTGGTGCAAGATTGCCGTTGGCGATATCACGTTCGGGGAAGAAGTAGTCGTTGGGCTTGAGGTCGTATGTCTCCCACTGGTTCCTGCGATGATCGGTCTCCTCCTCCTTCTTACCGAACATCAGGTTCTCCATGATGATGTGGTGCGTCGGCGCCATGCCGAGAATGCCACCAATCGTCGCTTTCGCGGTATAGGCCATGTCGGTGATGCGAACCAATAGGCTGTGCGGGTGCTTCTTCATGTGTGCAACGTAGGCGTCAAACAAGTCGTGCGTGAAGAACTCGTGCTCGAACCGGCGGGGCAGCGACTTGATAAGGAACTTCCCATCGGCCGTCGTGAAGAAGGTCGAGCCGCTGTACCCCAGATCGCCGACAGGCACGAGATCGGATTCGCGGCCCTTGCCCTTGGCTGCCTTCTTTGCTAGGTGGAAGGAGTTTGTGTACTCGTCTTCATCAAATTGCCAGACATTGTGTCGGAGTTCGAGGAAGTCTGCGGCGCGGTATCGAGCAAGAGGGAGGTGGAAGACGGATAGGAAGGAGGTGAAGACGCGAAAGATGCGCTTTTTGAGGCTTGGTTTGTTGGGGTTGTTTGAGTCGCCTGAGATGGCTGCGAGGATCGAGGACGAGATGGAGGTGCTCCGGATCTGCATGGTGGCGGTTGAAGGCCAAAGGGCCCAGGCAGGTCTTTGATATCCCGCTCGTGGTAGTGAAAAGTGTCTGTAGGGGAAATGTCTTTGGGAGGAAGAATGTAGGCACCGTTAGAAAAAGAAGTTGAAAGACGTAGCTTGAGCTCGGTACCTTGCCTTAGGTGCGAAGGGATGGGAGCTTGACGGGAGCTTGTCTTAGACCGACAATGGTGGAGAGCTACTGACGTCACTTTACCGGGGAAGGCGCATGTGCCCGCCAAAAGCCACAACCAAGCGGAGCAAACGTTCCTGCTCAGCAATGCGGCAACCATTTAATCCATGGATGAATATACGCGCAGGATTATACATGAATCTCTTCGTCCAAGAATCTCCATGGTTGGAGAGTCAAAGGGAGAAAAAAGAAGACTGCCTTTATTGCCCTGGCTTTTGAAACCCTTCTTCTTCTTACCCACCCTATTACGATCAAATGATAGGCATCTTACGCTATCAAGGTGTATTCTGAAAGAAAAATATAAGAAGTAAAGAGTACTAATGGAAGTAATAACAATAACAGCAGGGGGAGAAATACTTGCAGTTAGCAGAATTGGTGGAAATGAAAACAAGGTTCTGAGTTGTAAATTATCGCGTGACATATCGCTGAGACAGCTCTTGAATCAACCCACTCTGATGAAGATAGGGACATGAGTCTTCTTTCATTATAGCCGGAGAGTGATGCTGGTTCCCGGTGTTCTCATATCTGGAGGTTGTATTTTCCCCAAGCTCGGATCTTGACTAGAAGTCTACACTACGACGCATATTGAATCAAACTTACGGACTGTGTCGAGTGTTGTAGACTTCTAGAGTCTCGACCCTGTCCTCAAATAAAATATAAGTCTAGCTGAAGCTAAGAAGGTTGCAAAAGTCTCATTGTGAGAGGGGACTTACATGCTGTCAGTCCATATTACATGGGTCTGGGGCGCTTCACGATACGCCATTCGCTCACCCATCTACCCACTCATCATTGGCCAATGATGTCCAAAGTCCCGCGACCCCGCAGCCTCTGGTGTATGATAAACTCTCTGACGGCTGCCTGGCTTTATTTTCCATTCGCTGATTTCGATGTGAGACAGTATCTGACAACTTGGAGACCCAACCATGAGCAGAGAATGCAACAAACATGTCCACACACTTAGACGGCAGGGACGGTAGCCGTCTGAGGGATTGCATTTCCTGTTCAGATAGCAGGAACACCATCATCCCCAATCCCCTTCTTTGCAATGATTGCCAGCCATGGAATGACTTTTTCCATGTTGTCTATTGCTGCTACGCATCACAAGACGTGGACGTCTCAGCTTTCGATCCCGACTTTGATGAATCGGAATCTGCCTCCTACGGCTTCCAGTCTCTGACCTTTCGATCGTTGAGCAGCACCGCCAATAGCCCAAACTGTATGATATGCAGCTTCATCAGCTCGGAGATAAGCACCGTAGATGGCGCCGGCGACGACACTGAATTGACAGTCTGCGGGCTCTTCCCGAGTCGTAGGACGGACCCAAGCTCTCGTACCCTCATATCTAACAGGGCACATGAGACTTCGTCCTTTGCCGAGAGCTGCGCCTTGGCTATCTGCGTTTCGGGGCTTACACCGCTAGCGGACAGTAAATCAAATGATATTTATCGACCTGTGGTCCTGGGGATTAGACTTAAGTATGGGTCTAAAGACGGAACCCGACTTGAGTTGGCAGAACCCTGGGATCGGCGATACATCAACGTCAGCCTCCTTCGCAGCTGGCTGGCGAGCTGTCAGGACTACCACGGACCCAAATGCAACGAGCCCTTGACAGAATCAAGACTCCCTGCCGGTTTCCGCGTAATAGACACCAAATGTAGGCGGATTGTCCAGCCAAAGACCCAGGTTGCCTTTGTAGCATTGAGTTATACGTGGCGGCTTGCAACTGCTTCAGCGGATCGGGACCTTCATTTGACGACGTCAAACGCAGAAAAGTTGAACCGGACTGATTCTCTTGTGGCGGATCTGCTGCCAGAAGTAGTTGGGGACGCTATCCACTTGTGCCGGAACATGAGACAGCGATACCTCTGGGTTGATCGCTTGTGCATCCTGCAGGACGATGAAGATCTCAAGATGGCACAGATCAACGCTATGAACGACATTTACCAACTCGCAGAATTCACCATTGTTGCAGCTGCGAATGGTGTTGGTGTTGGGCTACCCGGTCTCACTACGCGGCCCAACATTTCCACTCACAAGAACCATTGCTGGCAATTCATTAAGCACGTGCCTAAAGCAGTCGAGGGTACGGCATCGGGCGGGAACTCTGCCATGGAACATGCCGTTGTCGGGATAGCCCCTCTCAGCGAGAACCAGGTCATCAGCTCCAGCGAGTGGAACTCGAGAGCATGGACATTTCAGGAGAAGCTGCTCTCCCGGCGGCACATCTTCTTCAGCTCCGGGCACGTCTACTTCAGTTGCTTCCACGAGGGCTCTGAGCTTCATAGATACCCAGACATCAGGCACTACCGACCACAGGAGGAACCAGAGACTGCCGGCGTCACAAGGACAGGTCAAGACCGGGGTGGAAGAGGTTTCGAAAAGGGCCTCCGATCCGATGAGTACAGCGATGACGGGGTACTCGGATTTTACCCGCTTCTAGTGGACCAGTATACTAAACGAACACTCGGCCGTCGGGAAGACGTGCTGAGCGCCTTTGCTGGCGTCGGGAATGTTGTCGCTGCTCGGGCCAGAACGCAGATGCTGCTGGGACTTCCGGAGAGATACTTGGCGCATAGCCTCCTGTGGTCGTTTTGCTCTCCTCTGGGAGTTACATATCGCACGACTGAAGGGCTGAGACTTCCATCTTGGACATGGGCTACCCGAAAAGGCTCCGTCGTTTATCAACGGTCTCTCGGGGGCAAAATTGACGGCGACTGGTTGGACCCGATGTATCAGATTCACTTTGGACATCTCGTCTCCTTTTTCTACTGTGACCCGATCTCTACTGGCCCCTCTAGGCTCAGAAACATTTGTGAAGGCAGGGTTTGGTTTCCAGAAGATCGAATCGATGGTTCTATGCGGCAGGAAGACTTCCAGCGAGATCTTGAAGCCTTCTTTCAACCCAGGGGAGAACTTTGCCTGGTGACTGAGTATAAGGATCCTCGACAAGAGGCACCGTGGATCTCCGTGGTTGACATGTGGAAACGGTCTCCGCAGAACCCTATGACAGCTCGCCACCACATCGAGCTTGATGATAAGACCAAAGCCAGGGCTGAAGAACACCCTCGCTGTCTCGTTTTCAACACCACAGTTGCCAGAGTCCGGATGGGGTCATACCTTCGCGGCGATGATGACGGAATTCAACTTACGATCTACAACAATGATGGCACAAAGATAGGAACCACTGCGCCTATGCATAGGCAGTGGGCTTTAAAATGTCTGAGCATGGGGTCGAGCCACTACATGATAGTTGTCGCCGCTGGCCTCAAGTTTCCTGAAACCTGGGAGCATAATGCTGTGTTTGCGGGAAGCCGAGGATTTGGGTTCTATGTGCTAATTACATCTCGCACGAGCGGGCTCTACTCGCGTCTTGGGATCGGCTTTATTTCCTTGGATGGATGGGCCTCTGTTGAACCCAACTGGGAGCCTGTTATTCTAGTATAGTAGTATAGTAAAGCGAATCACTGTTACCAGGAAGACTTCTATGACTTTCTCCGTGGGCGAATAAGAGCAGACGCATTAAGGAGTAGAGTAGAGATTTACATTGCTAGGTCTCGGTATCATGGAAGCATGGAGGTCTAGGTACCAAACGAACTTAATGTTCTTACTATTGGGAGATAGTAGACTTTTAGTCATCATTGAGTCGATTCAACTAGAGAGGGAAAAATCAGCAGCGGAGTGGTTAGTTGAGCTGATGATCTGGAAAGCTGACGGGGTCGTTGCCGAGACCTGGCCCCTATCGGCCCATGTCAACTCAGGCTGAGGTGCCACTGCTACCGGCCTCGCCTCCAATTATGCGGGAAGGAAACTGAACCAGACGGCTTGCTATTGTATGATGTATGGCTGCCACAACATGCGAGTCTCCGAGTCACTCGCACGACCTTCAGACAATGTATCGTAGACCTAATGCACTGACATTTCCAGATAATCAGAGTCACAATTACTCATGGCAGAAGAGGAAGGCCCACAGACGTTGCAGATAGTACTAAGTGAAGTCTCCCATTCTTTCAGATTCTATTCGTCTGCGTTGCGCTGGTAATTCTACAATCAAAAAATTTAACCATCCCTTATACTATCTATAGTCTCCCGTCTAGTGAGATCTTTTACAACTTGCTTCTCAGGTCCTTTCTCTCATCCTTCTTGAACAGCACCTTGCTGTTGGGGTAGGGGTCAAACACAACGCTGTTGAGCGGGTTGTCCTCGCTGGCGCGCTTGAACATGTCCTCGTACACCTTGCCGTCATAGCGGCCCAAACTGCTGTCCAGGACCCAGTCGTCAAACTTCCAGGCATCGACCAGGCGGACTGCGTGAGGGCGGATCTCCTCCAGGAGGGTCATGACGGCCTTTGTTCTCGCCAGCGTGATCTGGCGGACAGTGACAGCCGCAGAGCTGTAGAACTCGCTGGCCTCCTGCTCGAGGGTATTCAGAGCATACAGTCTGAAGAGCTTGTGCAGCAGACCGACGGTGTCCTTGTCGAGCTGCTCGGTGGTAGCCTTATCGTTGAGAGCCTGGTGGAAGTTCTTGACGACCATGTACTGGGCGTGCGCGGTGCTGAGGCGCCAGAAGTCGACGAGAAGGCTGTTCCAGGACTGCTTGTCCTCGTCTCTGTGGCGGAGGGCCTCAAAGGTGAGGAAGGACACGCGCCAGGCAAAGGCAGCGACGAGGTCCTCGTCTGAGCCGAGGACATCGAAGGCTGCGCCGATGTCGCGGCGGCGGAGGAACTCAGAGAGAATACGAGTGGTGTCGTTGTTGCCGGCCTTGCCCTTGAGGACGGAGCGAGCGGACTTCAACAGGTAGCGGGATACTTGCTGGGTGAGCATGTAGTTGTCGCCCTCCCAGGTCAGGGTTGGCAGGTAGTCGGCGTACCAGGAACCGATACCGCTGAAGGAAGAGTATCCGTGGCCTCCGCAGGCGCGGCGGCAGATCTCGAGACCCTCACCGGCGACGGTTGAGCCGTAGGCCTTGAGGGCGCAGGAGGTGGCGTGGAGATCGGCGAGGAGGTCGGTGCCGGGGTTCAACTCCTCGGGGCCGGGGTTTCTGGTTCCGTCGCTGAGCTTGCCGACGTCGCCCTTCATGCGCTTCTGGTTCTCGTTGTAAAGGTTAATCATACCGCGACCGGTAAAGTGAAGGGCAAATGTGGCTGCCAGGAGGGGGAGCAGACGAATCTGCACCATGGTGTAGTTGAGAACTTGGTTTTCTCCAGGCTCACCCGCCGGCGCATCTCGGTCCTGGAACTGTCGGCGGACAGCGCAGTAGCGGGTGGCGATGGTGACACCCTTGGCCAGGACGGAGCCTGACTGCAGGACAATGTTGGATCGCACCCATGTGAGGGTTCCGTAGATGAGAGAGGGGTTCGCGGGACGGATGTACTTGCTCGTGTTCGGGTCGATGGACGAGAATCGGGCGAGCATGTGGTTGTGCGGAATCTTGACGTTGTTCAACAGCAAGAAGCCGTTGTCCATGGTGTTGTAGCCGAACTTGGGGCCGATATCGCCGACGTGGACGTTCGGGAGAGGCTCGTGAGTCTTCTTGTCGCGGATCGGCACGACGAAGGGGTGGGGGCCAATCTTCTTGCCGTTGAGGATCAGCTGGGCCATGACGACGGCATGGGTGGCCGTCTTGCCCAAGGAACCGATCCACCACTTCGAGGCCGTTAAGTGAGGCGAGTGCAGAACGAAGCTCTTATCAGACGGGTCCCACGTTGCCGTGGTCTCGAGGCCACGAACGTTGGAGCCGTGGCCAAGCTCGGTCTGGGCGTAACATCCGAGGATCTCGTAGTTCTCGGCGGGCTTGAGGAAGAGCTCGTGCTGCTCGGGAGTGCCCTGCTCGCGCAGCGTGACGAGGAACATACTGGCGTGGAGGCCATACGGTGTCGGCTCAGCAATCAGGTCGTTGGCAACGATGTAGTCTTGCTGAGACCAGTTGTGCTCCTTGGTCAACTGGAACAGTCTCTTGCCTCTCGCCAGCGCAGCCTCGATACGGGCATTTCGGCCGCGGAAGTAGTTCTGGGTCTTGTCAAAGACAGGCTCCTTCTTTAGGATGTTTAGTATCCTCTCGCTGCGCTCGAGAGCCTCATTTGTGAACATGAACGACGCGAGCTGGTCGACGTTGAGGTTGGACTTTGCGCGCTCCTGAGCGAGGAGCTCAGTGCCCTGGGGGCCAGATGGCTGGAGGGCCTTGACCCAATCCGGGGTATTCGGCATCGTGACTTTTGTGTGTGGGGATGATAAGCTGGGGTAAGTGAAGGACTGGGGAAGTTTGTCTGGAGAAATGGAGGCTGCAGATGGGATTTTGTAGGATATGCTGTTCTTGAGTCGTGAGGTGTGCGCTGTCCAGATCTAATCTAATCGAGGTTTCGAGAGTTCCGACTCGGAGAGCAGCTATGATGCTTTGAAGGGCAGTGCCTCGGTAATTACTACATCTAGTTAGACTCTAGCTCTTGGTTCGTGTCGAAACTCCACAAAAAGGCTCTCTGGAAACCCCTTATTTCACCAGGTAGCCCACCAAAAGCCAAACATGTCTGCTCCCGATCATCGGACATGCTCGGCGCCGACTCCGACTCCCGAGGGAGAGGGCACCCCTAGCCGATTTCCCTCGGTTGGTTTTCTCTAGTGCCGGGTGACCGCTTCTAGACCTCCGGGACACGCGGGGTTTAACTCATATTACCATCCATCACTATTACGCGTGCCTTATGACACCAACCAGCTCATGGCCAAAAAGCATGGGAAGACAGTTGACGATTGGGGCAATTGTGAGATCGCACATGTTAGTTTTCACTGGCTTTTCGTGATGAACTAAGCTACCTTTTTTCGGAGAAGAGTTTCGTCGACATTGCCAAGCGGGCGCAGTGAGCAACTCCATTCAACTACTAGAGCTCAATGCAACTTTGAGGCACACGTTCTACTTATCCTTCGACGGTCACAAACTTTATTTCTGATAGTTTATCTTTCACAAGCTACTCCGTAGAAGCTCAGGAGAAGCTCTGTCAACCACAGAGGTCCCCCGCCGCCGGTCGCCACCTGGGAAAGATTCATTCCAAGTTCCTCAATCCCCTATTTAACTCCAATTACATCTCTTTCAGAGAGGCATTCCCCTATACGAGAAAAGAGTCTTGACCCGCAGATACTCGACCATCCCAACCGGATTTCATCCATGTCCGGGGCGCTTGGATGATGGATCCAGATAGTCGGATCTTGATCCCTGCCACAACAAATGATGCGTCATCCAGCACCAACACCTGACAGATCCACCAGACGCTTGGCGGGACCCAGCAACAACGAACATGTGAAATTGTCTGCTTGAGTCGTGCCATTGGGGATTTTCTTGGAATAGCTGTTTTCCTTGTGTTGACGCGGTTTGATCATCCGGTTGAGCTCAACGAGTGCTATGGCTATGGTGCTTGTTGCATATTGGCAAGGCTATGCGGCTCATGGAAGAATGGTCTATGCAAGCGTAAGATGCACACCATCTATCTTGGTTGACAGGAAACCGACCACCCTTTAGTGCCAATGTCGCCACTCCCGATGGTGAGCCATGCAGAAGATTTCCATAATCCCGAAACTCCGAATGGATGGTTATTCGAGAGTCTGAGACCCTGAGAGTAAGTAAACCATGCGGAGCATTCGTGATTGGTCCATAGTATGGGCACCGTGTTTGCGCTTAAGCGGCACGTTCATGTTGGTGCACTGTACAATGAAGTTTGCTTGAGACAATGAGCAAACATTGGCAACCAACATGGAAATGATGGAGTCAAAGGGACGAATCAACAAGACTATCTCAAGCCAAGAACTCACGTATGTATCTCCGGCCCCATCGCATTTCAGCTTCTGCGGTGTGCCTTTGGCGTCGCCCCAGTGCGCGCTACCAACGTGCGACACATCTCCCTCCCAGCCTGGATAAATCCATCTAATTCCGGAGGCGAAATGTGTGTTTGCTACCCCAACAACAAGTCAGTCCCTGTGGCGTCACGATCCTTGCCAAGATCAGTTGTTCGTTAGCTGAAGAAAGTAGCTAAGCTGTCAGATTCACCGGCAAGGGCCGCCATTGGGCGATGCGACGAACGGGAGGGTTTCTAAGACCAACTACTATCGCAACAAACACGAAGGTTGCTTCGTCGGTGGCTCCTGCCCAAATTCAATAAGGCCCTTGCATGATGGAACATCGCCGAGACCTCGACACAGGATGTGAGATTGGAGGTGCATTTCCGGATCCTCGTCCCTCGAGTAGGCAGCCTGATGTGACCGGCTTTGTCCTGACCCTTCAGGACTTGAGCCTCAGAAGTCCGGAGGAGATGGTACGGCTAAATCTCCTAGGTCTCATTAAGAGACAGATTGATATGAGTCTCTGTTCACATAAAAGGGCCAAGTTTTCCTGCGATACTTGGAGAAGATTTTATGTTGAGCCATCGCAAAAGCAATCACCGCGAACTATCTCCTCAAGCTTCT